TAGCCCACACACTATACCCCCATCCTCACTCATGCGCAGAGAGTACAAAAATCTTCACAAATAAACACGTCTTCATTTAATATTTACCTATAACATATATTAATACGTAATATATAATAATTCCTCTTATTGATAAATGTTACAATCAGTCAAGTCAGCAAGAGGGTTAGGTTAGGTTAGGTTAGGCAGGTGTACCGTATGTTGGTATATATATACAATGGTAATTAGTTTTTGCCTGTTTGGTTTGGTTAGGTGTGTGTGTGTGTGTGTGTGTGTGTGTGTGTGTGTGTGTGTGTGTGTGTGTGTGTCAGGGCATTGACCGTCTGAGTGTACGTAAAGTCTGTGGGATTATCACACCACATTTCATTTACTTTGTGTGTAAAAAAAAAAAAAATAATAATAATAATAATAATAAACTGTTTATTAATAGAGTTGCAGTTGGTGGCTGAAAATATTCTAACTTACATTTGATTTAGACGTAATGATATGCGTTGAATACATTTACAGGGCTGTACAGTACATAAATCAGGAGTTGTTTATTATTTTAACAATAGATGGGATGGTGCTGTTCTTATATCTATCAGTGCGGGCTCTTAGGGGCTGAATATGTGTGTGTGTGTGTGTGTCTGAACCCCTTAATTCCACCCCTTTACCCTTAGATATAATACCCCCTCCTTTAATTAGCCCCTTTACTTCCATCCCTTTCTTCCCTTAATTCTACCTGGGAAAAATTTATGGACGATATAACCAAAGAAATTACTCTCTCTCTCTCTCTCTCTCTCTCTCTCTCTCTCTCTCTCTCTCTCTCTCTCTCTCTTGGCGTAGTTAGTATTGTATTGTCAGGAAGACTTAAACAAATTAGTCGAAGATTCCTACAAACAATTTCCAAAAGCCTCAGATAGACTCTTGGAGGCTATATTAAGACTCTTGTGGCTATATTAAGACTATTTGAGGCTATGTTAAGACTCAATACTATATTAAGTCTCCCGGTAGCTATAGTGAGACTCCTGTCATTATATAAAGGCTAAACTGGAGACTCGTGAAGCGCGGAGTCTATACAGAAAGTTCAGGATTGGAGGAATGAAAACTTTCCTCTGGGTAAATTGCGATTCTAATTGGTCAGGAACTCAAAGAGGAGGCCGCGACGCCGACCTCCCTCCCGTGTGGCTAGGAAATACCCCCCCACCCCACCCCAACCCCACCCCACCCCATCCTCACCCCACCCTCACCCCTACCCCACCCCACCCTGGCCCCACCCCACCCCTCTCCCTCCTCCTCCTCTCCCTCATCTTTTTCTCCTCTTCATCTCGGACCCCACCTGCAGCACCCTCCCACCTCCTAAACCCAGGGGCAGGCGTCGGGGTCGGCCGCCGGATTATGGGAGAGAGCAGAGACGGACAAAGCAAAACAAAGGGGGGGCCAGACATGGAGGAGGAGGAGGAGGAGGAGGGAGGAGGGGAAGGGAGGAGTAGGAAGAAGAAGGAGGAGGAGGAGGAGGGGGGGGAAGAGAGGAGGAGAAGAAGAGGGGAGTAGGAGGAAGAGGAGGAGAGGGAAGAAGAGGAGGAGTAGGAGGAAGAGGGAGAGAGAGGAAGAGGGGACAGTCGATTCAAGTGGTTTAATAATTCTCTCGTTCACATCTAAAAAGAAAGGTATTAAGCCCAGGGAAGACTTGACTATTTCACATCTCTCTTAAGACTTACGGTTTAGGAGAGACTCAGCGTGAAGCTACAGTCTGGCGAGAGAGATAATGTACACTAACACCAACCTAACACTTAACCTAACCTAACAGTAACCTAACCTAACACTAACCTAACACTAACCTAACACTAACCTAACACTAACCTAACCTAACAGTAACCCAACTAACACCAACCTAACACTAACCTAACCTAACAAGTAACCTAACCCAACACTCAACCTCAACCTAACCTAACTGCCTAAGTTAACCTAACATTTGGACTAACTCTAATCTAAACTAAACTGTTTAACCCAATCATGGTTGGCTGAATGGGTGGCTGGGTGTTAGATTGGGTAGTGAAATGAGGTGATGGGGTGGCAGGCTGGGTGGCTGAACGAGGAGGGAGAGTCTAGAGGAGGCGGTGTGGGTGGCGCCAGTAGTCTATATGGGCGGCTGGGCAATATTTGACGAGTGTCCACACCTTCACACACACTGTAACCTGAGCCGTCGCCTGACTCATCCTGGGAGAGAGAGAGAGAGAGAGAGAGAGAGAGAGAGAGGGGGGGGGAGAGAGGATGTTTGAGTAATGGAAGTGGTTTTACGAAGTTCGACCAGAGTGTGTGTGTGTGTGTGTGTGTGTGTGTGTGTGTGTGTGTGTGTGTGTGTGTGTGTGTGTGTGTGTGGTATTTAGACCGTCGACTTGAAATTGGTTATTATTATAGAAGTAGTAGTATGGAAGTAGTGTAGAAGTAGTGTAGTAGTAGTAGTAGTAGTAGTAGTAGTAGTAGTAGTAGTAGTAGTAGTAGTAGTAGTAGTAACCACACCTAGACAACCATAACATAACACAGGTGAGAACAAATAAACAAAAACACAAATAATAATCTTAATTCATTGTCCACACTGTTGATACACACTTGTATAAACAGTCCTTGTAAATAAACACATTCTCTTTACAACTGATATATGGTCAATTTGGCGTTTGTAGATATTTCTTGGTAGTTATTTCTACAGAATGTAACCTAAGCTATTGTAACCCAACTCCAACCCAACCCAACCTAACCCAACCCAACCCTAACCCAACCCAACCCAACCCAACCCAACCCAACCCAACCCTACTTAACCTAACTAACTAACCTAACCTAACCTTACTCTAACCTTACCTAACCTAATCCAACCTGACCTAACCTAACCTTCTCGCCTGATATTCAATATTCCAGAGTTGACCCTCTGCAGCCACCAATAACCGTCATAAGGGGTCACTAAACTCATGAATTCATTTACAAGTTATAACTCAGCCCAACCCTGATGCTGGCACTCGATACACACACACACACCCTCCCTCCCAGCCCCTCCTCCTCCTCCAACCCACACCTCCTCCACCCACACCCTCCCACCCACACCTCTCCACACCCCCCCCTCCCCACACCCCCTCCACCCACCTCCCCTCCACCCACACCTCCTCCATCCACACCCCCTCCACCCACACCCTCCACCCACACCTCCTCCCCCCCTCCACCCACACCTCCCTCCCACACCTCCTCCACCACACCCCTCCACCCACACCCCTGTCTCCACCTACACCCCCTCCACTCACACCCCTCCACTCACACCCCCTCCACCACCCCCCCTCCACCCACCCCTCCACCCACACTCTCCACCCACCACCCCCCTCCACCCACACCCCTCCACCCACACTCCTTCCACCAACCCCCCTTTCACCCACACCTCCACCCCCTCCACCTCCTCCACACCCCCTCCACCCATTGACCCGATATAAAGGCACTGGGTGTATACCTGGTGTACTGGTATATTGGAGGCTATTGGTGGGTGGGACGGGAGGTGTGGGTGGAGGGGCAGGTGTGGGTGGAGGGGGAGGGTGGGTGGAGGGACGGAGAGAGGGAGGCTTTCATGAGGGTCACGTGGCCACATTTGAGCTGAATAATTTAAGGTAATCGACTATGGCCGTAACTCTGGTTTCTGTGGACTCGTGTCTGTATGTGCCAATAGCATTATCTGTGTCTGTTTCTCCTCCTCCCCTTCGTCTTCCTCTCCTTCCTCCTCCTTTTTCCTCTCTTTTCCTTCTTCTCCTCTTTCCTTCCTCTTCTTTCTTCTCTTCCTCTCCCTTCCTTCCTTCTCTTCTTCTTTTCTTCTCTTTACCTCCTCCCTCTTCCCTTCCTTTGCCTCTTCTTCTCTCCTTCCTCTTCTTGTTCTCCTCTTCTCTCTTCTTCCATCGTCTTTCTCAGTCTTGTGTCTTAACAACAATCGGTCATCGGCCTCAAAGAATGACGTCATCGTTTCAGGGGTGTGTTTGATAAGTTATGTCGTCAGGAGTGTGTGTGTGTGTGTGTGTGTGAGAGAGAGAGAGAGAGAGAGAGGGGTGGGGTGTGTGTGTGTGTGTGTGTGTGTGTGTGGGGGGGAGAGAGAGTGTGTGTGTGTGTGTGTGTGTGTGTGTGTGTGTGTGTGTGTGTGTGAGAGAGAGAGAGAGTGTGTGTGTGTGTGTGTGTGTGTGTGTGTGTGTGTGTGTGTGTGTGTGTGTGTGTGTCGTACTCTCAAGATTCTGATTCGTGTTGGTTAGGTTAGGTGTTGAAATCTGACCCTGGCTACACGCACACCTGTCGCTTGTTGAAGAGGGAAAGGAGACCTGGTGAAAGAAATAGTACCCCAAACACTCTCCACCCCCCCCACCTCATGCCCCCCACTCCACCTTCCACCTGTAGTGAGGGTAAGAAGGAAATATATACGATTATTTTTTTTTTTGATTTAACGCAAATAATTCTGGGAGGAGGATTGCGGTGGCGAGGTGGTTATGGGCTTTAAACCTCACTGTTGAGATCCTCGGTTCGATATTCTTGACAACGTAACCGATTTGCCCTCCATTCAGCTCGGACATGAGTGGAGATAACTGGGAGAATTTTAATTATTTTTTAATTTTACTTCATTACATTTTTACTTTTTTATTTATATATTTTTTTAATTTATTTATTTAATTGTTTTACTTTTTTTATTTGTCTTTTTTTTCGGCTACGCACCACGACAGGATGAATACGAGAGGTTAGGTTAGGTTAGGTTAGGAAACGTCTTTACCGGGGAGGACACGGGGTCATGCGCTCGTTAACTCAGGTGTGGTTGTTGTGTTGGTTAGGTTAGGTTAGGTTAGGTTAGAAACGTCTTGCCTACCGGAAGACTCTGACACGGGGTCATGCAGCTCGTTAACTCAGGGTGTGGTTGTTGTGTTGACGACAGCTTCTACACTTTAAACAAATTCACGCCTCGGTGGTCTCTTGGCTGGCCATCCTCGTTTCATTAGGGTCACTTCCAGGTCATGAAAGGCTGGGTACTGCCACTAAGGCCACAGTCAGGAGCCTGCAGTCAGGAGCACCACAGTCAGGGGCCACCACAGTCAGGAGCCACCACAGTCAGGAGCCACCACAGTCAGGGCCACCACAGTCAGGGCCACCACAGTCAGGAGCCACCACAGTCAGGGCCACCACGGTCAGGAGCCACCACAGTCAGGAGCCACCACGGTCAGGGCCACCACGGTCAGGAGCCCCACAGTCAGGGAGCCACCAGGCCAGGAGCCACCACAGTCAGGGCCACAGTCAGGAGCCACCACGGTCAGGAGCCACCACAGTCAGGCCACCACGGTCAGGGCGACCACAGTCAGGAGCCACCAAGTCAAGCCACCACAGTCAGGAGCCGCCACAGTCAGGAGCCTACAGTCAGGGCCACCACAGGTCAAGCCACCTGGTCAGGAGCCACCACAGTCAGGGCCACCACGGTCAGGGCCAACAGCCAGGAGCTACCACAGTCAGGGCCACCACGGTCAGGAGCCACCACAGTCAGGAGACCACAGTCAGGGCCACCACAGTCAGGAGCCACCACGTCAGGAGCCACCACAGTCAGGGCCACCACAGTCAGGGCCACCACAGTCAGGGCCACCACAGTCAGGAGCCACCACAGTCAGGGCCACACAGCCAGGGCCACCACAGCCAGGGCCACCTCCCAGGAGCCACCACAGCCAGGGCCACCACAGCCAGGGAGCCACCACAGCCCAGGAGTCACCAGGTAGGAGCCACCACGTCAGGGCCCACGGTCAGGGCCACCACAGCCAGGGCCACCACAGTCAGGAGCCACCTGGTCAGGAGCCACCACAGTCAGGGCCGCCACAGTCAGGACCACAGTTGACCCTCAGGACACAGGAACTTGTTTACTGCTCTTATAATGGAGTTTGAGGGGTTTAATTACCTGCCGAGAGTTATGGCTCTGTCCTCCTAGTGTGTCCTCCTAGTCTCTGTCCTCCTAGTCTCTGTCCTCCTAGTCCCTGTCTCCTAGTCCCTGTCTTCCTAGTCTCTGTCCTCCAGTCTCTGTCTCCTAGTCTCTGTCCTCCTACTCCTGTCCTCCTAGTCTCTGTCCTCCTAGTCTCTGTCCTCCTACTCCCTGTCCTCCTAGTCTCTGTCTTCCTAGTCTCTGTCCTCCTGCTCCCTGTCCTCCTAGTCTCTGTCCTCCCTAGTCTCTGTCCTCCTAGTCTCTGTCCCCCTAGTCCCTGTCCTCCTAGTCTCTGTCCTCCTAGTCTCTGTCCTCCCTGGTCTCTGTCTTCCTAGTCTCTGTCCTCCCTCTCCCTGTCCTCCTAGTCTCTGTCTTCCCAGTCTCTGTCCTCCTGGTCTCTGTCCTCCTGGTCTGTCTCCTCTCCCTGTCCTCCCTAGTCTCTGTCTTCCCGTCTCTGTCCTCCTAGTCTCTGTCCTCCTAGTCTCTGTCCTAGTCCCTGTCCTCCTAGTCTCTGTCCTCCTAGTCTCCTCCTGTCTCTGTCTTCTAGTCTCTGTCCTCCTACTCCTGCCTCCTGTCTCTGTCTTCCTTGTCTCTGTCCTCCTAGTCTCTGTCCTCCTGTCTCTGTCCTCCTACTCCTGTCCTCTAGTCTCTGTCTTCCTAGTCTCTGTCCTCCTGTTCTGTTGTTGTCTGTCCCTGTCCTCCTAGTCTCTGTCCTCCTGGTCTCTGTCCTCTGTCTCTGTCTCCTAGTCTCTGTCTCTGGTCTCTGTCCTCCCTGTTAGTCTCTGTCCTCCTGTTTTTGTTTGTTGTTTGTGTCTCTGTCCTCTAGTCTCTGTCCTCCCTAGTCTGTCCTCTAGTCTCTGTCCTAGTCTCTGTCCTCCTAGTCTTGTATATCCCGTTTTCTTTATATATATGCTTATCCGCTTTCCATATTGCATATCCATTTCCATATTTGTGTATCCATTTCCATATATTCATCCGTTTTCTTTATATTCACATCCGTCTTCTTTATATTCATCCATAAACTTGTCTATGATGATTCATAAAGAGCTCACATTTGATCATCCAATAGGGGTTAAGATTCTGGCGAGTTACCTCAAAAACCTTTCTTGTCTGGTTTTCTGGGGGAGACTTTGAAGATTATAACTCTGCTCTTTGGTTATTAAATCTTCAAAGATGTTTGTTGTGTATAGTGGGTGTATCTTGTGGATGGTGTATTGTATTTGTGGTTATGTTAATTAGCACCTGTGATTACCTGTGATTACTGTGATCACCTGTGTTTACCTGTGGTGGTCAATTCTCTGTATTTCATGATAAGTCGTTTTTTTGTATATTATCATTATTATCGTTCTTTGTCTCTTTATAATTTATTTTCATTTATTCACCTTTTTTATTTCCCATAGGCGTCTGTGGTATGACGTCATGAGGCGTAATGTGGTATGACGTCATGAGGGCGTAATGGTATGACGTCATGAGGGCGTAATGGTATGACGTCATGAGGGCGTAATGTAGTATGACGTCATGAGGGCGTAGTGGTATATGACGTCATGAGGGTAATGTGGTATGACGTCATGAGGGCGTAGTGTGGTATGACGTCATGAGGGCGTAATGTGGGCGTGATGGAACCTATATTCAATTATCAGACTAAGGGAACGATATCGGAGCATTATTGACTCTGAGTTGGCGACAAAGTTCCATTATTAAGTATCGGTGTTTTAAACCTTATCGGCAGGGCTTTCCGATATCGTGAGGTTATCTATTTTTGTGGGTTGAAGATAACGCCATGATATCAGGGTTATTTAGAGGTTTACAAGATACCTAACCTGACGTAACTTACCTTACCTTACCTTTTATACCTTTGTAACCTTACCTTACCTTACCTTACCTTACCTTACTTACCTTTGACGTAACCTTACCTTACCTTACCTTGACGTAACCTTACTTACCTTACCTTGACAACCTTACCTTCTTACCTTGACCTTAACCTTACCTTACCTTACCTTGACGTAACCTTACCTTACCTTACCTTGACGTAACCTTACCTTACCTTACCTTGACGTAACCTTACCTTGCACACCTTGACGTAACCTTACCTTACTAACCTTGACGTAACCTTACCTACCTAACCTGATGTAACCTTACATTTTACCTTACCTTACACTAACTAACCTAATTCATAACTTAAGGGTATAATAAGCCTTATATGTAAACGACGCCAGCATTATAATAACAGTCAAACTCTTGTAATATATTTGTAAAGCATTATGAAAAAATACAAAGTTTCCCTCTTAAAAACACATTGGCATCTGGAAACAATAACAAAGGGTGAATCCTCGACTTTAAGGAAACGCTGAGTCGTGAGGCTTCCAGCTGACTCCTTTAACTGTGACAACACGGAAGTAGTGGGGGGGTCAAAATGGCTTAGAATTTGCACTGGACTCTACCTCAAGTATTAGGTTGTTGTTGTTTTTTTTTTTTTTCTCGGGATAGAGGAAATCAGATGTTTGTGCAATTTGAGAACCTATCCTCTGACCTGACCTAACCTAACCTAACAACCTGACCTAACCCTAACCTGACCTGACCTAACCTAACCTGACCTAACCTAACCTAACCTTTGGTGAGTGTAAGCTGAGTGTGTAGGTGTGGGTTGGAGTGTGTAGGGGTGCGGGTGTGAGTGTGTAGGGTGTGGGTGAGTGTGTAGGGTGTGGGTGAGTGTGTAGTGGGGTGAGTGTGGGGTGTGGGTGAGTGTGTGGGGTGTGGGTTGGTGTGTGGGGTGTGGGTGAGTGTGTAGGGTGCGGGTGAGTGTGTGGGGTGTGGGTGAGTGTGTGGGGTGTGGGTGAGTGTGTGGGGTGTGGGTGAGTGTGTGGGGTGTGGGGGTGTGTGGGGTGTGGTGAGTGTGGGGTGGTGAGTGTGTGGGGGGGTGTGGTGAGTGTGTGGGGTGTGGGTGAGTGTGTGGGGTGTGGTTGGAGTGTGTGGGGTGTGGGTGGTGTGGGGTGTGGGTGTGTGGGGTGTGGGTGAGTGTAGTGGTGACCTCTGGGTGTGTGTCTGATAATGGTGATGGAAGGGGCGTGGCATACAGGGGTGGAGGGAGAGAGGGGCGTGGCATACAGGGATGGAGGACAGAGGCGTGGCATGCAGGGGTGGAGGAGAGGGCGTGCCATACAGGGGTGGAGGACAGAGGGGCGTGGCATACAGGGGTGGAGGACAGAGGGCGTGCAGGGGTGGAGGACAGAGGGCGTGGCATACAGGGTGGAGGACAGAGGGGCGTGGCATACAGGGGTGGAGGACAGGGGGGCATGGCAGGGGTGAAGGACAGAGGGGCGTGGCAGTGAGAGGAGCGGCGTGGGAAGAGGGAGGGTGTGAGATAAGGGGCGATGAGAGTAGAGGGAGGGTAGATGGTATGGTCGGAAGGGAAGAGGGACGTGGCAGGGGAGGTTGTGGCACGGAAGGTCAGTGAGACGGGTCTTGATAGGGTGTGACAGGGGGTCAGACAGGGCGCGCGGCAGGGGAGGAGACAGGGCGGAGCATGGGAATCAGATTAGGTGCGGCAGGGGAGTCAGACAGGGCGCAGCAGGGGGAGACAGGGCGCGGCAGGGGGAGGCAGACAGGGGCGTAGGGCAGGGGGATATGGTGTGAGAGCAGAGACCAGTTAATTTACTGAGGCTGATGGCGCCAGCCTAGTCTGGGGAGAGTATGGGAGAGGGAGGGTGAGGTATGGGAGGGGAGGTATGGGAGGGTATGGGAGGGAGGTATGGGAGGGTATGGGAGAGGGAGTGTGGGAGGGTATGGGAGAGGGGAGTATGGGAGAGGGGAGAGTATGGGAGGGTATGGGGGAGGGGGAGAATGTGGGAGAGGTATGTGGGAGGGGATGGGAGGGGAGAGGTGAGAAATATTGTATGGGAGAGAGAGAGGTTGTTGTTGTGAGGGGAGATAGAGCATTGTTAAGGAGAGAATGTGGAAGAGGGAAGGAAAGGTGGGGTGGGACAGAGAGGAGAGGAAGAAAAAGAGGAAAGGAAGGGGTTTAAGAAGAAGGAAGTAAACAAAAGAAAACGAGAGATAAACAACTACAGAAAACGGAAGAGGTGATGATAGATGGTAGACTAAAGAGAACAAATAACACTCCAGAATTAATTAAAAACGGAATTAAACTGTAAGTGATTAAAGAAAACGGAAATTATTTATGGAACTAAAGAAAATGGAAGAAACTGATACGTGGGTAAACTACTGTAAAGAAATAAATTATAACCAGGGAGAAAGAAAGAAAAAAAAGAAACTGAAGGAAAAGATAGAAATATAAAGCAATAATATAGAAACAAAAAAGAAAGCCCAAACCAGCGAAGATGTAACCACGAAGTCTGGCGGGAAGTGCGTAGTTGCCTGAGGAGGGCGTGGTTGAGAGGGAGGAGGGAGGGCGTGGTTGGAGGGAGGGAGGGAAGGGCGTGGTTGAAGGAGGAGGGGAGAGGGCGTGGTTGAGGAGGGAGGAGGGAAGAGGGCGTGGTTGGAGAGGGAGGGGAGGGAAGAGGGCGTGGTTGAGAGGAGGGGAGGGAAGAGGGCGTGGTTGAGAGGAGGGGAGGGAGGGCGTGGTTGAGAGGGGAGGGGAGGAAGAGGGCGTGGTTGAGAGGGGAGGGGAGGAAGAGGGCGTGGTTGAGAGGGAGGAGGAGAGGCATGCTTGACTAGGGGAGTTAGGTTGGTTAGGTTAAGGTTAGGTTAGGGTTAAGGTTAGGTTAGGGTTAGGGTTAGGTTAGGGTTAGGGGTTAGGTTAGGTTAGGTTAGGGTATGTAGGTTAGGTTAGGGGTTAGGTTAGGG